ATATATATATATATATATATATATATATATACAGGTGCATCTCAAAAAATTTGAATATCGCCATTATTGTGGTTTCAAAGAACAAGAGATACCCGGAATTTATACTGTAGGGATGGTCATTTAATGACACTCAAATGTAAATATTCTAATATTTTAAGATACTGCATTTTTTACTTTCATGAGCTGTAAGCTGTAATAATCAAAATGAAAACAAAAAAACTTTTGAAATGTTTTACATGTAATGAATCTAGAATATATGAAGGTTTCACTTTTTGAAATGAGTTACAAAAAAAAAAAGAAAATTTTCACAATATTCAAATTTTTTGAGATGCACCTGTGTATATATATATATATATATGCTCAAGAAACATTTCTGATTATTATCAGTGTTTGTGCTGCTTCATATTTTTGTGGAAACTGTGATAACCCAAACTTTTGAATGGTAGTTTAAGTAACTTTTGAATGGTAGTTGCATTAAATTGAAAGAGTGACAGTAAAGACATTTATAATGTTACATTTATAAAGCTACTTTCTATTCTTCAGAGAATCTGGGAAAAAAACGTTAAGCAGCACAACTGTTTTCAATGCTGATGTATACAAAATACATATAAATCAAATTTAATGATTAATTTTAATTTCTAGACTGCTGCTACTGCATGGCCAATTTGTAAAAAAAAAAAAAAAATCAAAATATTTGAATAAAAAATATATACATATTCTTTAATTTATAAGAAACTAATAATATGGTTTTAAAATTTGCAAACCACTGTCAGCAGCGATATTCTTGTGGGCAGCACATCGACATATAACGCCGTTGCGCTGCAGGCGTCCCGAGTTCGAATCCCGGCTTGTGGACCTTTCCCAATCCCACCCCTCTCTCTTTCCCACTTCACTTCCAGTCCTTACACTGTCCTATCTAAAGACAAAATTGGCAAAAACGAATCTTTAAAAATTAAAAAATTGGCAAACCACACATAAAGCAAGAAATAATGAAAATATATCCATGTACATAATATTAGCCTAAGGTGACCAAACAACAGTCTCTGAAGGTTAAGCAGCACATCCTGATAATTTGTTGAAATAGAACAAAGTTTTGTTCAAGAGGAGTTTCATACTTTGCACCCCATCGGTGGAAAGTGTTACTGTGGGCACTGACACACACTCACACATCTCCTCACAGTATGGTCTTTATTTCATACAGCTGAGAAATGAAAGCAAACACAAAACCGTACAAAATAAAACTACATAAAATTGCCTCAGGTCCCAATATTTCAGAAGTACAACACATCATGAAATGATAAAGAATTTGATAGAAACTATCAATATTTACATCTCTTTTTTTATCATCATCTGATCAAGAGAAAACTATTAGCATTATATTATATTTTCAGCTTTAGCTTCTTTTTTGTAAACAGAATCTTTTACTGCATCGAGTCATCATCTCGTCTTTTGGCACCATTTTGAAATCTGTAAATGAACTACGATTCTCAGTAGGACTACAATTGTGGCAGCGACACAGAGGATCTCACAGCGATGAGCTCAAAGCAACACTTGCAACCTACACCTACAACATCATGGAGAAAATAAACGCATGACACCGCAATCTGTGCTGATTGGCCAGCTACTGATGTTAAGCATGAGATTCGAGAGTAGCTATTGGCTGGGACGTAATGTGGGCGGGATTAAGGGGGAGGTCCTTGGTAAATGGGTTTGCTCCCAGTTTTAAGTGGATTGACTGAGTACACTTCTTCACCCAGGGTATGTTTGGAGTGGCATACTACCATACTACCCATACTAGTTTTGCAGTATGCATACTGGTATATTATGCAAATGTTTAGTATAAATGGCATATGTGGATGATTTATTGGTAACATTTACAGCATACAACAGAGTACACTATTTAAAAAACGTATCCCACGATGCAATGCGCTCGACCTTGCATTCTGAAACAGAGTTGTTATTGTTAACTAAAACTATTAAAAATTGTTTTTGTAAATTGAAATAAAGTTGATATAAAAAAAAATTTAAATAACATGAAAAATTTAAAATTGCTTTGGCAACTCAGTTGAACTGCTAAAACGACTGAAATAAAACTGAATAAATAAATATATAAAAATATTGATATAAAAAAGACAAACTTAAAAATAAAAAAAAAATTATTTTAAAAATGTTTTCTTGGCAACTAACAAATAAAATAAGTTGAAGTATTAAAATGACAATGGCAAAACTAAAATATAAACATAAATATAAAAAATTATAATAATAAAAATGAGAAAAGTACATAAAATAACTCAAGTTGAAGTACTAAGATGACTAAAGCTAAAACTGAAATAAAAACAGAAATATAAAAAAGCAGAGGAAAAATGGCAAAAGCCATAAATAACTTAAAAAAAAAAAATGAAAATTGAAAATATAAAAATAAAAGCTATTTCAAAATATTAATAAATACTATAATAGTATATATATATAATACTAAAATAACAGTTGTGAAAATAAATTAACCACATGATCAACTTTTAACATTTAGTTTGTCTTATTTGAATGCTACAAGATTTCATTTTACTTTGTTTTTTCTCAAAATTGGATTAAAATTGAAAGAACTATTTCAAACATGATAAATATATGCCATTTGCTGAATTAATCAGCGATGTCACATGATCATCTTGTATACTACTGTTAGAAACATTTAGAATTGCAAAATGCATACCGTTTCACATTATATATATATTTTTAAATATTAGGCAGTATACAGTATAAATGGCAAAGTATTCAGTAAGTATGCTAGTATTCCACTCCGAACACAACCCAATTTTTTAGACCGAGGTTCAGTGTTTCCCACACTCACATACCGCAAAAATACACACACAGACTACAGTATGTGTGCTTATAACAGTCTGAAAACCAACAATGGTCATACAACACATTAAAACATGTTTCTCTCTCTCACACACACACACACACACACACACACACACACACACTTCCATCCATTTGATGAGTGTTCAAAAAAAGAATACATCCATCATTCACTGCTCTCTCTCCATTTTCCTTCATTTTATCAGCTATTTGTCCCGTCTTTCTCACCTCATTTTCTTCTATCACATATTCCAATATGGTTTTTAGCTTTTTATAACATTTCTCTCTCTCTTTCTCACTGTTTATACGCGTGTCTGATAAATATTCCTCAGCGTTTCATTTTTCACCTGTCTAAAAGCACCAGCCAGCTTAATATTACAGGAACTCTATAAAGTCCACTTTTTTGGATGCTGGATCAGAACATTTAAAGTCAACCTGAAACCAAAATTGACGATTTACTTTATTACTACTGAAATGTATTCACCAAGCCTTTGTTTTTTTGCCAATTCTCCTCAAATATCCTTTTTTTTTTACCTGAAAAGTGTCACATTGCGAGTGCCATTTCATGCTGACTTTAAAATATTCAGATAACTTACATGTTCCCTGGAAAGCATTAATGTGTTTTGTTACATAAGCGTGACCTTTGGCCACAGCTGAATTTATTTATGAAACATTTGTATTGTTAATATTCTTTGCTTTGCTTCCAGCACTTTCTATTTCTGTGGGTGTAAATGCATTTCATTTCGGGTTTTGCATCATCATCATCATCATCATCACATCTCTTGGTTTAAGATGATCTTTACAGACACCACAATCCAACACCGATAGCCACTCTGAATAAATATAAATGTAGGACTATGGCACAAAAATCCACAATATTAAACTGACACACGGTCAAGCTTTTCGAAAATGAAAAGAAATCAACTCTGAACAGCAATCTTATACACATCTTTCCTTTAGCAATTCAATTAATTCCCTTTAATTATCTTTTAGCAGCTTAGCAAATGATAACTTGGCACTACTGAATTTTGTAATATTTAGGGGTCATAAAATGCTCATCTTTTGCAGTCTTTTCTCGAGGGGAGTTGTATTTTTCAAACCCAGTCATAATCATTATTATATTAAGACAACCTTCACTGAAAATGTAGGCAGACGAAATTTTACCATGACTGGAGTTGCAACACATTCGGTATTGGTGGTCGTGACACTGGTCTCTATGTCAAAAGCATCTTTAATCACGTTACGGCAGTTACCATAACAACTGCAATACTGAAGTAATGATTAGTGTGTGGCTTGTAAACTCCTGACTCTCTCACTGGCTTGTGTTTGTGTGTTCACTGGAAAATTTTTTCAAAGGTCAAGATGAAGGGTCAGATATTCAGTCTGTTCCAAACCAAGTGAGCTCCCTTCTAAAGCTGCATCATAACGGAAATGGAACCTAATTTGAAATGCACTACAAAAACGTAATTCATTCAATAGAGTACTTGCAAAACAATACTCTAATAAGCATAAAAATATTAGGTACTCCATTTTTAAGTAGATCAAAAGGGATCAAAAATTAATTTTATTCAGCAAGGATGCATTCAACTGATGAAAAATGACAGTAAAAATTTTTAAAAAGTTGAATAAATGCAGTTTTTTACTTTCTATTTATCAAAAAATCTCAAAAAAAAAAATCTCATGGTTTCCACAAATTTACCAAATTTTCATCATTGATAATAATCAGAAATTTTTCTTGAGCAGCAAATCAGCATATTAGAATGATTTCTGAAGATCATGTGACACTGAAGACTGTAGTAATGATGCTGAAAATTCAGCTTTGATCACAGAAATAAATTACATTTTAAAATATATTCAAATAGAAAAGTTTTTTTTTTAATTGTAGTAATATTTCACATTTTTACTGTATTTTTACTTGTATTTTAAATGCAGCCTTGATGAGTATAAAAGACGTCTTTCAAAAACATTTTTTAAAAAGCGTACTTTTGAATGGTAGTGCATATTTATAAACATTTTTTGAATTTTTGGAGCTTGTTGCAATACATTCTGGAATTGCTTTTTTGAAAATTCTGTGTTCATATTTGGCAAAAAGGCAGCACCTATTACATGCTGCCCACATAGAAAGCCCACTATGATTTGGAACAGAGTTAATGTTTCTGTTTACTGCTGAGGAACAAAGTAAACCATGAAACAGCTTCAGAAACATACTTTTTGCCCTTTGAAACAAGTTTTACCTGGTTTCACCGAATCCAATCCGTAATTATCCAAAAATAAACAGCATCAAATGACATCAACATCAACCCCCTACCTCACTGAGGACTTTGCCGTGTCTTCAAGTGTAAGGCTTTGTTTTTAGTCAGCGAGATTCCTGGCGTTTCATCTACTACGGATGGTATCTGTAATGCATAACAGGCTTAGATGAAACAGTCAAATCAAAACAATACAGAAAGGCATCATGAACGAGCCTCGGGCTGAAATACACAACAAATCTGATGTACGTGTGTGTGCGTTTGTGTGTGTGTACGACGTATTGACGGTCTGTTCAAATAAACTCGCCGGACCCTTGTGCTGCCTCAGAGTGTTCATTAAAAATACCACGCCATTTGTGTTTGCTGCTTCTGTATGGAATATGAGTATGCGTTATCATTTCACACCACTGAAATCCTTCCTTCTGGTTTTTACGTCCGTGTCTCCGCTGCTGGTCGAGCGGAGTAGATTGAGGTCGGACCTGTGTCGGACAGGGGGGCGTGGCTTTTCGGGGCCACCAGAGGGGGGCGTGTCATCAGGGAGGGGGCGGGATCTGTACCCCGAGCAGCTCGTAAGCGAAAATGTTCCAGAAGATGGCGAAGAGGAGGAAGGTGATGAAGGAGAAGATGAGGACCCACCAGGAGCACTGTTTATGCAGAGATTCCTCATAGCTCCGCAAGATCAGCAGCCCCATGCTGATGCCCACCACTGCGCCCGACAGATGAGCCATGAAACTGGGCTGCGGTCCGGAGGAGGGGAGGGGCGGGGAGAAACGCAGCCATACGGCACGGCCCACCTCTGAACTCACTGCCAAAGACGGAGAAAGAGATTGGCAGATGTTTGGAATAGCATACTACTCTACTACTTATACTACTTCTGGAATATGTCATTTTTTGTATGCATGGAATACTAGATAAAAAGTGCATTGCGAAAGATGCAATGTGTTCCATTTTTAATATATCGGCAATTGTTTTTTATTAAAAATGTAATTAGATTTTTTTATTTAATTGAAAAAATATTAACATTTCTAACATTTAATTAGATCAGTTTAAAAATGCAAAACAACCATGTTTATTTTTCAGATAACTGGAGACAAACACATATAGCAAATGAATATAGCAAATGAAAAAACACAATAGTACACAGTAGCGTGCTAGTATGCTATTGTGAATTCAGCCACAGCCTATTTACTAAAGTATGAGAACGGCAATAACTAGTTACTTACTGCAAACAAGTGCAAGAATCATCCGTAGCAATTTGTATGGACACTTCATACCGGCCCAGTTCTGAAACACAAACATATGCATGTTAAAAGGCATAACGAAGACTTTTACAAAGTCAGCATAATGAAAATTCACTCAATCTATTTTGTAAATACATCTTATTGATCTTACTGTATTCATCCACGCATGTATTTTGTTTTGTTTTTTTACATTGAAATGTTTCATAAAAAGTATAAATTAAGCAAATCTGGAGATTCTGGAAAATTAAAATAAATGTCTGGAGATTTATGCTGGACTTCTTGATTTAAAAGCTAAAATGTACAGCTAATGTGAAATGCCATCAGTGTTATTGTTAACTAAAACTAAAAAGATAACTGATATAAAGTTATCTAAAAAGATAAGATCTAAAATAAAATAAAAAATATTAAATGAAACGTACGCTTAGATCTAAAAGTTAGTTTAGGCTGAAGTGCTAAAATTACTAAAATTTAAACAAAAATAAATTAAAGCTGAATAGAAATGTTAATAAAAATAATAAAAAGGCACATAATAAAATGACTAAAACTGCCATTTGCAACCTATTTTACTTTCATAATATATTTTTTGGGTAAAATAGAATATCCATAATGTGTTAAAAAAGACTGTGTTTTCTAAAACAATGATTAAAGGTGGGATAAGCGATTTTTTAAAAACGCTTTGGAAAACTGATTCGGGCCGAATAGCAAAACAAACTTGTAGCCAATCAGCAGTAAGGGGCGTGTCTACTGATGTGGTGGAGGAGAGAGCGTTCAGTGCACATGACGGACATTAGCAAGCCGAGCGACAGAAAGATAGAGATGGCGGATAAAAAACAAAAGAGGAAAATGTCTGTGGAACAAAAGAAGGCTTAAGGCAAGAAGTAGGACCCGTGTAAGTATCGGATCAGCTTTCCAGCACTGGAGAGAACTCAAGGAGCGGAAGGCCTGCGATCGGACGCCGAGGTTGCTTTGTTTCTTCTCGATAGGCGAGTAACACTGTGTCTGCTCCGCAACAGCTAAAGTCTGTCTAGTACACTGGACACGACAAAGCGACCATTGAAAATCATTTGAAATTTGTGTCAATACGTCATAAATAGAACGCAGCAGCAGTTTTCTGTCGGGGATTTGTCGTGCCGCGCCGCATCCAGTGTAGGCCATAGATATGTATATATATCTATGGTGTAGACAGCATCACTGATTATAATGAGTGCTATAGTATTTTGTCTCGCCGCACCACTCGCGTCCAGTGTAGACACGGTGTAACATTGGTTTTGCTTTGTTTCAGAAATAATCGTTGCCTGGGTTGCATACATATGTGTGGGGCGGAGCTATCAAAATAGGGGCGAGACCCTTTTGGGGTAGGGGCGTGTTTGTTTTGGTGATTTCAAATGTCAACATTGGCTACCAGAAATCGCTTACCCCACCTTTAATAGCTATTTGGCTACATGTGCACTGATGAACTGTTCCCAATAAGACCAGAAACGTCAATTTTGATTTCATGTTGACTTTGTGCTTATATTAATTCTTATGTATAAAAAAAGTGTTATTTGAGCTGTAAAGTTTCTAAATCACCTCCTAGAGGTGGAACTACACCTCTTTAAAAGTGGATTTTTGCTTGAGGAACCAGTTAAAATGATTTCCTGTGGTGACTGACAGCGTGTCACTGATGACATCATAGAGCTCAACCTGTACTGAATCCAGAACATTCCTCAAATTCCACACACACAAACTAAAAGGCACTTTAACAGGGAAGAGGAAGAGTTGAGACGCATCCATCAGCACACAGCAGACTCTGAAGAGACTTTCTGACTCTCTGAGGCCTGTTTGTGTCTGTCTGTGTGCGAGTGATTAGAGACTCTTTGATCTTTAGGGAAGCCGCAATATAAAGCATCCGGAGAGATTTATCCTTCCTCGTTTCTCTATTCCTCTGCCTGATTTCCCCTTTTCATTCATTCTGACACAAGTCGCCATGGCAGCAGTTAGTTTCGGTTACCATGACAACGTTGGCGAGATGTGCTGAGCAGAGTGCATAGACCCCGCCGGACCCGCCCACCACCGGAGCGCGCATATCCGTGATGGACACCGTCAGTGAACCTGAGGAGATACATGGTTAGTCTAGACCAATGACAAAGAGTGGGATTATTTGATATATTTTGTCCTGCAAATCCCCCACGAAGCATGTGACAAAGCCCCGCCCACAAGTAGTGACTCCATTTGAAATTATGACATCATGTGAACTGATAGATTTAAAATTCTAGCGTGATACATTGTTTCCTGTGACTCTCATTCTGTGTAAAGACCTTCGTGGCGTACAACATTAAAACACTTGTGTACACACTGTACGTTTGCTGATTTCAGACAGCCTCTATTGAGTAAAATTGCCCAATAGAGAAAATTGACAGGCAAATGTAATCCTAATATAATTGCCTCATAATGACATGAGAGGGTCCCCGCATAGGGACCTGTACACCACTGATGCATGCCTGAATTTTTGGATGATTTGAAGCTTAATTGAGAGTGTCTAACTGTCGTACATGCCTTAAAAATAATTTAATAAAACCTAAATTTAAGTTTTTATAAGGATTTTATTAATTTTATTAATAAAATATTTATATATATTTTTGTATATGTGTGTGCGTGTGTGTATATATATATATATGTATATATATATATATATATATATATATACACACACAAAATTGTAATTTTTTGTAATAAAATAAATGTAATTAAATTCTAATTATCTATCTTAATCTAATTCTTATTTGAATAAATTATTTAATAAATGTAATTTGATTTGATTTATTAACTTATTTTTAATTTAACAAATTAAATAAATGTAATTTTTTTTAATTTAATAAATTAAATAAATGTAATTTTATTTAATTTACTGAATTGATTCCTTTAATTTAATAAATGTAATAAATTAAATATTGAATTTATTCATTTTACTTTTTATTTATGTCTTATTTGTATTTTTGTATTTAATTGTGTATTTAATAAATGTAATTTTAATTATATACAATTTTAATTAACTTTATTGAATGTATTCATGCTTAATTTAATTTAATTTAATTTAATTATTATTTTTCCCCTGTAGGTAGTTTATTAATAAATCATGAAGAATGTTATGATAACAAAAGGTGTTTTAATTTTACTCAAATGTATATGTTTCATCAAATGTATTTAATTTAATAAAAAAATATTTTAAATTACAGAATTTACATACAGCTCAGGATGCATGATTTAGTCTTTATTGTGTTATTTTTATATAATACTAAAAATTAACACATTAAAATGACGTGTAATATATATATATATGCATATAAACCCCTCCTGACCTGTATTTCTGCATTACTGCCATCACTATTGTCGACCCATTTAATGAATGCAATAAAGATAATTAATAGTTGTCATGTAATTATAGGATACAGAGCTGCTCTGTGCTGCAGTCTAAACGTGTACTATAGAAACAACTTTTTGAGATTTTATTTAAACCGAGTGCTATTTGCCTGTGCAAAACTTGCAGTCAGGATGCCAGGCTGTTCCGAGTGGTTTGTAGGGTGTTGTAGGTGCTCGTTAGGTGGCCAACCCAAGTGGACTTTAATTTAATACAGAACATTCAAACTCACAGCGGCACAAAACACATTGAGTAAAGCTAATTCTGTACTCTAAACTAAAATCTCACAGGAAAGTGAATATGCATGCAAAATACAGCAGAAGCAGGTGAGATAATTGAATATTGGCATATCCTCTGTGTGTGTGTGTGTGTGTGTGTGTGACAGATTGTCTATACGGTGCGTTACACACTGAGCTGTGCTGTGCTCAGCACTCTTACTCCAACACCGTCTTCATCATTCTGCTCTTTTTATGTTACATTTTCTCAATACTCTTTCTACACGCACGTCCTCCACCCTCTCACTCCATTTCTCACGTTTTTTATCTCTTTTTTGCATATTCTATTTTCTCCTTCTTTTAATTTGCATCTCATGTTCTGCGTCCTCAGCATGGACACTTTCCTTTAAAGATGTCAAAATGCTGACAAGTTGCAGTATCCAGTACATTTTGAGTAAATATGATACAACATAAGTGTTCATTTAATTTCAGCATATTTCTGTCCATGTCATTTGCAAGAGTTAAGTTGTATTGTGTTACATCATGGCTACTTGATTCTGTTCCTGGACTGGAGGGCCACGTCCTGCAGGGGTTTGGCATGAACTCTAATTAAACAGACCTGAGCCAGCTAATCAAGGTCTTCAGGATTATTTAATAATTACAGACAAGAGTGTTTGATTAGGCTTTGAATTCAGCAGAACGCGGTTCAAATTTAAAAGCACTGTATATCATCTATGTATTTCCTATTTCACACAAACATACACATAACAAAACAAGTATTTATGAATGAGACATTGACTCCATACAAAATTATATTTTTTTTTTCAAATTAATACATTTTTTAAATAATTTTAATTGTATTCCTTTTATTACATTTTTTTAAATTGTGTAATTTTATTGAATTTATTAATTTTATTTTGATTTAATTTAATAATGATCAATGAACATTTTGTCAGAACCTCTAGTGAATTACATGTTATTTTGTTTAGTTGTCTAATGTTTTTTCTTCAGAATCATAGGAGAATAACAATCTCTATTTAACAATAAATAAAAATAATAAAAATTGAGATTCTGAATTTATCCAGAATCATGCAGCTCTAATATATCCACACACACACACACATCAAAATAATAAACTGAAATAAACACATTTAAAAATATATTTTTAAATATTACTATGTAAAAAAAATAAAACAACAAATGTATTTTAAATTAAAGAATTTACATACAGGTCAGGAGGGATGATTTTTTTTTTAATGTAATTTCCAAAATGATATATATAAATAATTAAATACACTTGCCCTGAAGACCTTGATTAGCTGTTTCGGCTGTGTTTAATTAGGGTTGGAGTGAAGCTCTTAAGGACGTGGCCCTCTAGGAATGGAATAGCCCTGATAGAGAACAATATATATCTCTGTTTTATAATAAGAAGAACATAGCTAGCATTAAAATGTAAATGTATTCTATTACACTACACACAGTCTCCAGAGGTGGTATATTTGCTGCTTTAGTGTATATGTCACAAGAGAGAGATGGTGCGTGCGTGTGTGTGTGTGTGTGTGAATAATTCAGAGATTATTGATTAGGTCATTGCCCACTGGTGACATGTCCATCATAAACATGAGCACATTCTCCTGGTGAACTTGTCAGAGTGCAAGGACAGCAAGACGTATGCGGACACACAAGCACTAACTCACCAGCGACAACTCCTGCCATATACAGCAGACTGATCCTCAGGATCCCATGAACCATCTCCAGAGGAACTCCAATCATCAGCTGGAGAAGAGCGTTGAAACCCAACTGCTCTAATCTGCACACACACACACACACACACACACACACACACACACACACACATCCAGAATGTAAAACATCAGCTGCTGCTACAGGTCTGTACAGCTATATTTAGACAAAGGAACACTATGAAATTCTCATCAGCCTTAGAAGTTGAAGTCAAACTTTTGTCTCTCCTCTTAAAAGAGCCTAAACTTGCTCAAACGCTTGCAAAACACATTAAGGCCTTACAGAAATCCCAGACAGATTAAACCTGTTGAGTAATGAATTGATTGCACATTGAAAAGCATCTCAATATGACAGATGATTGAAGCAGAGGGGCTGGAGTATTTTATTGCATTTTGATAAAAGATGACAAAGACAAACTGTTTTCTTTAAAATAAACGAATCGTGCACAATAAGACCAGGAACATGCACGAAGAAATATGTTCGTATTTGACTTTAAAGCTTGTAAAACGTACACTGTTTATTCGAAGAACAGTTGCTAGTTGCATAATTAACCAAGTGCACTACAGCTGATGCTCATTTATTTATAAATGGAGATCTAAACAAGAGTTCATCTGGTCCTGTCAAACACTGCGCACAGTTCTTACCCAACATGCATGAACATATAGCTGAAGAACCTCCAGATTTGAGCGCGGTGTCCGGGATGATACACCAGTGGACTCTTCATGAAATCCGGCTGGTAGGTTTGCAACACCCATTTATTGAGCATCACGCCGTAACACATAAACACTATGATCTGGAACAAACACAAACACAGACACACTCAACAGTGTTAAACCTGTCAAACCTCATGTGTCAAACAAAAGTCAGAAAAATCAAATGTTTGGAAATTAAACAGTTTACTGAACCTTTAGACAAAACATACAAAAACAAAAACTATACAAGTTTGCATACGTGACCCTGGACCACAAAACCAGTCATAAGGGTCAATTTTTTGAAATTGAGATTTATACATCCTTTATACAAGCTGAATAAATAAGCTTTACATTGATGTATGGTTTGTTATGATAGGACAATATTTGGCTGAGATACAACTATTTGAAAATCTGGAATCTGAGGGTGCAAAAAAATCAAAATACTGAGAAAATTGCCTTTAAAGTTGTCCAAATGAAGTTCTTAGCAATGCATATTACTAATCAAAAATTAAGTTTTCATATATTTACGGTAGGAAATTTACAAAATATCTTCATGGAACATGATCTATACTTAATATCCTAATGATTTTTGGCATAAAAGAAAAACCGATAATTTTGACCCATACAATGTATTTTTGGCTATTGCTACAAATATACCCCAGCGACTTTGTGCTCCAGGGTCACATATGTGGTTTTTGTTGAGCATCATATTTGATACATCGGGCTTTTATGGCTCACATAGCTGATATAGTGAGAATACGGAGTGCAAACTCAATTTTAGATGCCCAAACTGAGCAAAAATATACAATTTGGTGTAGATGCTATTTATTTGGCCAAAAAGATGATATTCTGATAGCTTGTAATGTAAATCAATGAAAACGTTCTAATAATATAGCAGACTACTTACATAAAATGCATTTAAATATCAGTTGTCAATTTTTTATCTCAAAATAATGTCCTAATATTATACTTCAACACTTCGTTTTATGACCAAAGCTCTGCAGTTTTCATTTAAAACATAAAATACAATGCAATACAACGATGATAAAGAGATGAACAAATAAACAATCCTCAAAAGCCTGATGATCATATTTGATACTTACATTAAAACATTATTTTTCATAAATGATGTATGGATAATTAAGTAACCCTAAGTTGCTTTAGTCCAGAAGGAGTTCAACCGGAAATATTACTAACAATATAAAAGTTATTCGTGTTTACTTCATTGTATTTTTTTTTAGCAAATGTTTGATTATAATGATCATTTATAGGAAATGTGTATCAAATATTACACTTTATAGGGTTAAAAATAAAGGTTCTTCTAATCATAACCAAAAACCTTTGAAAGAAAGTTTCGCTCTAGTCACAGGTGTACTAAAGAACGAAGAACCAAATGTGCTGATCTGAAGAACCCATAATGCAACATAAAGAAGAAAGAGGCACACAGAGCTCAGTGAGGTGTACCTGCACAATGGTAATGATGGCCATGAACACTGGAGGAGGGCAGAGTCTGCTCTGATGGAAGTACCATCGGCGGTCCGTCTCGCATGGCAGAATCTCATAGGCCACGTAGCGCACGAAGCGCTTGTACACGCCCAACCCCGTCTCATCCAATAGGATCTCACGCTGCAGGGTGCGACGCCCATTTGCAATGGCTCGGCGGAAACTACTGGAACGTTTATTGAGAGAGAGAGAGAGAGAATCTCATTAGCTGTTTATACAGTGAGAAGTAGTGTAATTCTACATATACTGCCACTCAAAAGTTTGGGCTCAGTAGGATTTTTATTGTTTTTTAAAGAAGTTTCTTCTGCTTATCAAGGCTGCATTTATTTGATCAAAAATGCAGAAAAAACAGTAATATTGTGAAATATTATTGCAATTTAAAATAACAGTTTTCTATTGGAAACTGTTGCTGCTTCATATTTTTTTGGAAACTGATACTTTTTGTCAGGATTTTTTGATGAATAAAAATTTAAAAAGACTAGCATTTATTTCAAATAGAAATCTTTTGAAACAATATACACTACTGTTCAAAAGTTTGGGATCAGTACATTTTTTTCTTTCTTTTATTACAAGAAATTAATACTTTTATTCAGCAAGGATGTGCTAAATTGATGCAAAGTGATAGTAAAGACTTCTATTGTTACAAAAGATTTCTATTTTAAATAAATGCTGTTCTTTTTAACTTTTTATTCATCAAAAAATCCTGACAAAAGTGTCACAGGTTCCAAAAAAAATATTAAGCAGCACAACTGCTTCCATCATTGATTATGAATTAGCATGTTAGAATGATTTCTGAAGGATCATGTGTGACACTGAAGACTGAAGTAATGAGTAATGATGCTGAAAATTCAGCTTTGCATCACAGAAATAAATTATATTTTAAAGTATATTAAGATAGAAAACTGTTATTTTAAATTGCAATAATATTTCACAATATTACAGTTTTTTTCTGTATTTTTGATCAAATAAATGCAGCCTTAATGAGCAGAAGAAACTTCTTTAAAAAAACAATAAAAATCCTACTGATCCCAAAATTTTGAGCGGCAGTGTATGTCTGTTTCATTACCGTTTCAGTTCATAACCAAAACATTTATCATTAAATGATGATAATGTTAATACACCAACCAAAATTTAACTGAACCTCAATAATCTGCTCAGTACAGAAATAATAACAAATGCATCAACAGCAGACCATGTGATGATTTACAGTTCATTAATGTGACATTTCCAGCAAAAATTAATTACATATACAGTATTTTCCAGAATATAATTTTTTTTAATCAACTAAAATGAGTTGCGACTTATACTGCAAAGCGATAATGCAATTAATGTCAAGCATGCCAACCATGTACACAGTTTCACTTTAAATACATTAGTTTTAGCACTAAAATAATGCTATAAACTTAATAACACTAACAAAACTGTAACATAAAACACTCTAATGCACATAACTAACAACAAAAGAAGGAATATAATTTAAAAAATAAAATATAAACATAATGAGTCACTCAAGTTCTTCTGGAAACTCCTCTACATAAAATATACAGTGGTAAATAAAATATTGTATATAATAATATATTTACAATTATATAAATATAATTAATTTGAATACAAATTCAATATAACTGTAAATATAATTAACAAATCTTATTTAAAATATCTTTTATTATACATAATTAATTTTTTATTAAAAATATTACTTAATGAATTACATTAATAATTTTAATATTTTTATAGCTAAAACATTATTTGACCAATAACTGACTATGCCATGTACTGTCTTTTAAAATACATAATTTTCACCATACATGATGGTTGTATGTACATACACTCTTTAACAGACCTCATAATAGTCACACACACACACACACACACACAATTAGAGACATGGAGCAGTTTAATACTGTGACTTTCTTACAGATTACACCAATGTATGTAGGATTTCTCACACTCTCTTCTTTCTTTCCCCTGTTTCCTTCATCTCCCACATGCCCCAGATTTACACTTCACCCAAATCCTTTTAAATTCATAGCTTTCTCTCTGCCTTTGCTTCAGTCTCTCTTCCTGTAGAACATGGTTTTAAATCATGGAATGTCTTGAATCCAAGCCACAGAAAGTGTACAGCATCCGTGCGCGTGTATCAGGGTGTGATTACGTGAGGGTTCATATCACATCTCTGAATGAGTCTAGCTAGAGCACCAGAACTGTCAACACAGAGCGCCGCAGTCGTGTGTGTGTGTGTGTGTGTGTGTGTATGTATTAAAAGAGCCTGCGGCAAAATTGATTCAACTGTCTGTGCCAGAGTGAAAACACTTACGCCCCCTCGTATCAAGTGTTAGAGAGTGAAGAAGGTCCTGAGAGGAACACGGCTGGATTTGAAAAGGAAGCACGTGGAGGTTATTATTACTGACTGTGGGAAGAGCTTTTCATTCATGAACACACACACACACACACACACACACACACAAACAGCATTCATCTGCTCCGGGTCTCATAAAAATAGCATGACAATCAAATGTCACTCAGTATTTGTGCATCAAGGGATCCATACGGTTGCATGAACACACATACACACAAATAAAACAAAACAAAACAATAAAATACAATTGAAAGGCTTTGGGGCAGATTTGATCAAAAGTGACAGTAAAGACATTTACTGTAATTGCCATTTCTAAAAAATGCTGTTCTTTTTAACTTTCTATTCATCAAAGATCCCTGGGGGGGGGGGGG